TATTGCTTAAGTTACAAAGAGAAAAAAGACTAGCATTATTGAGCTATGCATTTCACAAGTTAAAAAAAAAGAACAAAATATATCCAATTTGAAAGAAAGAAGGATAACAGCAGCAATAATTAAAAGTAAAACAAACATGCAATAAAAAGGCTTACGGCAAAATGGACTTTTTGAAAAGACTAATAAAATAACTTCTGTGAAAATTAAACAAAAAGTTGTAAGAGGGAAGAGAGAAGGCATATAATGTAGAAATGAATAATGGAGATATTAAATTGGAAACAAATGGATTTTATAAAATATTTCATGTCAATACATTTGAAAGTTTCTATGAAATGACTGTTATAAATAAAAATTACCAAAAATAGCAAAACTTAATTTACAACCCCAAAGAATTTTATAACTTTAAATTGATTTAGTATTTTAAAATCTAGGACCAAATATTTTATGGGCATATCTGTGAGACATAGCAAAAGCAAATAAATCATCTCACACAGACTCTTTGTAGAGAATTAAAAATGAAGGAACCCTCATTTTAAGACGCTTGTTAACTGTTGCTGTTTAAGTCATGTATTTTCCCATTTGTTTTTTAATTATTATGGTAAAAGAAATACATAACATTAAATTTACCATCTTAATCATTTTTAAGTGTACAGTTCAGCAGTACTAAGTATGTTCACCTTGTGCAACAGAGCTGTTGAACTTATTCATCATGCAGCACTGAAACTCTATACCCATGAAACACTAATTCACTCTTCTCCCTCCCACCATCCTTTGGTAACCAACTTTCTACTTTATTTCTATGATTTTGACTACTTTAGATATTTCATATGATGGAATCATACAGTATTTGTCCTTTTGTGACTTGCTTATTTCTTAGTATATTGTCTTCAAGGTTCATCCATGTTGTATCATGTGACAGGATTTCCTTTTTAAGGCTGTATAATATTCCATTGTATGTATATAACACATTTTTGTTATTCATCTGTCGAAGGACATTTGGATTGCTTCTACCTCTTGGCTATTTTGAATAATGCTGCAATGAACACAGTGTGCTATGCTATCTCTTTGAGATCCTGCTTTCAATTCTTTTGGATATATACCCAGAAATGGGACTGCTGGGTCATATGGTAATTCTATTTTTAATGTTTTGAGGAACTGCTATACCATTTTCCATAATGGCTCTACCATTTTACATTCCCACCAACAATGCATGGGCTTCCGAGTTCACATCCTTGCCAACACTTTTTTCTGTTCTTTTGATAGTGGTCATCCTGATGTGCATGAAATGATCTCTCATTGTGGTTTTGATTGTATTTCCCTAATGACTAGTGATGTTGAGCATCTTTTCATATGTACTTCATAGCCATTTGTGTTTTAGAGAAATGTCTATTCAACTCCTCTGTCCATTCTTAAATTAGATTGTTTTTCTGTCATTAAGATGTCAAAGTTCCTTATATATTGTAGTTATTAACCCCTTATAAATACATGTTTTGCAAATTTTCTCCCATTCCATAGGTTGCCTTTTCACTATGTTGATTTGTGTGTGTGCGCATCACAGGAAGTTTTACAGTTTGGTGGAATCCTATTAATCTATTTTTCATTTTGTTGCTTCTGTTTTGGTGTCATCTAAGAAATCACTGCCCAAATCCAATGTCCTGAAGTTTTTCTTCTGTGTTTTCTTCTAGTTTCATAGTTTTAGTTCTTACATTTAGGTCTTTAATCAAGTTTGAGGGTTTTTTTGTAGATAGCATAAGATAACTTTATTCTTTTGTGTATGGAAACGTTTTCCCAGCACCATTTATTGAAAAAAGACTGTCCTTTCCCCATTGTGTAGTCTTGGCACCTGTGTTGAAAATAATTTGACCATGTATGCAAGCATTTATTTCTGGGCTCTCTATTCTGTTTCATTTGTCTATAGATCTATCTTTATGCCAATACCACACTATGTTAATTGTTGTTACTTTGTAGTATATGTTTTAAAGTCAGAGAGTGTGAAGCTTCCAACTTTGGGTTTTTTCTTTTTCTTTTTTTTTTGTTATTCAGAGTCCCTTAAGTTTCCATACAAATTTTAGGGTGGCTTTTTCTATTTTGCAAGAAAAGTCATTGGGATTTTGATAGGGATTGTATTGAATTTATAGGTCTTTTTGGCTAGTATGGACACTTCAATTATCTTCTCCAATTTTTTTGCTTTTTTTTCTTTTCTTGTCTGATTGCTCTGCCTAGAACTTCCAGTACTATGTTGAATAGAAGTGGTGAGAGTGAGCATCTGCCTTATTCCTGATATTAGAGGACACACTTTCAGTCTTTCCCTTGTTGAATATATTAGCCGTGGACTTTTCATATGTGGCTTTTATTATGTTGGGGGCAGTTTCCTTCTATTTCTCGTTTATTGAATTTTTTTACCATAAAAGAGTGTTGAATTTTGTCAGATGCTTTTTCTGCGTTGATTGAGATGATGGTGTGATTGTGGTTTTGTCTTTGATTTTGTTAATGTGGTTTATTACATTGATGGATTTTCATATATTGAAACAACATTGCATTCTAGGTATAAATCCCACCATAAAAACTTACACTAATAAATGAGAATGACTGAATACCACTACATTAAATATTTAACTCAAGACATTAGAAGAATAGTGAACCTAAGGAAACTAAAAGAAAGAATGAAAGGAGATGTTAATGAAGTAAAAAAATAGGAATACTATAGAACATAGCACTAAATCCAAGACCTGTTTATAAAGTGATAGTAATATGTAAAAAGCCATTAGCTAACTAAATGAAAAAAATTATAAATATATAAAAATGAGATTGTAGTACAAAAATAGTGAGGGATTTAGAATTATGGGACAAATCTGTCTCAATCCTATGAAAATAAATTTGGAAATCCAGATGTAATGACCAATTTTCTAAGAAAATAAAAATCTCCAAAGTCAATTCTTTAAAATACAGAAAATGTAAACAGACCAGTTATCATAGGAGAAATAAAATTGTCAAAGGGCTACTACTCCTAAAACACCAAACCTACGTGGTCTGATAGGTGAATTTTACCATGTTTTCAAGGAAAAGGCATGTGCAATGCTATTGCAACCTCTCCATAACAGGAAAAAGATAGGCAGACAGAGAGAGAAAGCTTTGTTATTAACTCTATGATGTAAGTATGGTTTTGAAACACAGCAGTAGTGCCTAGTAGTTAAGCAAATAGATTCCACATTTTGAACCAGTCACTAAACCTTTGTGTCAGAGAGTTAACTGTCCGCAAAAATCCAGCTTTCCTTTCCATAGAATATAATTATAGCTGGAATGATTCCTACTTCATTTTATCAGCCCCCTTTCAGCTAGACTGTTTCTCAACCTTGGAGTATCTAGAAGTGATGTTTACCATTTCAATGCCAAGACTTGAAGATGTACCCTCCTTATGGAAGGCAGAATAATGTCCTGCAAAGATCCTAATCCCTGGAACCTGTGATATTACATGGTAAGGCGGAGTTAAATTGCTAATCATTTGACCTTAAGATAAGATTATCTTGGATAACCTATATAACATCCAGGCCTAATGTAATCACAGAGTCCTTAACAGGAAGAGGGGGGCAGAAGAATCAATATCAGAGGGACATATTATGAGAAAGACTCAAACCAGCCATTGCTGGCTTTAAAGATAGAAGGGAGCCCTGAGCCAAGGAGTGTAGGTAACCTCTAGAAGTTGGAAAAGGCAAGAAAACAGATTTTCCCCTAAAACCTCCAGAAGGAATTGATTTTATCAATGCTTTGATTTTAGCCTATAGAGACCCATTTCAGACCTTTGCCCCAGAATATTTAGTGATTAAATTTGTGTTTGCTTAAGCCACTGTTTGTGGTAATTTATTACAGCAGCTAGAGAAAGTTAATACTTTCCTCCACTCTCCTGTTCCTCTTTTGCCAGCAGGATGCAGTTGACATTGAAACCCTAGGTGATGGCTGAGCCACAATATGGAAGGATCCTGGGCCTCTGAATCACCAAGTAAAGCAAAGTCATCTGCTGATTAAAAGCACACACTTTGGACTCTTACAGGAGATATAAACCCCTATTGTATTTGCAAGATGACATTCGTTACAACTATATATCCCATCCCAATGAGTAGAACGCTGTGCCTCAGTTGTCTTATTTAAAAAAAATAAGAATAATGATAGTAACTACCTCAAATAGTTATTGTGACAATTAAATGTTATCTAAAGTTCTTGGAATGATTCCTGACACATAGAAAGTGACATATAAATTTTATCATTAAGATTGCTCACAAGCATGCACACAGCTGCACACACAAACACACACAATTTACATTAATAGTATCTCTTTTGAATATTGAGCAAATGTTCTAAATAAAAGATTGGCTAATTGGTAGATAGAATCCAGCAGTACACTGAAAGAATAACATCCATGACCCAAGAGTGGTTTATTTTAAAATACAAAAATGTTCAATATTAGGAAATTTATAAATATTCACAGTTAGTAATGAGTGGAAGCTAGCTCCTTTCTGGTTCATAAGTTAGGGGTAATTTTTATATCTCTTTTGGAGGAAGGTGAGTATATTTCCATAATATCCCAACAACATTGAAACATTGAGATTGCAAAAATTAGCTCAGCTGTTAAAATTGTTTGTTTTATTTTCTATCAGAGTTTTGAGAAGGTGTCAAATTGTAACTGCCTAATTCTGATGATGGATGACTTGTCCAGTATCAGGGCCTTATACTTATGTACTAATACTAATAATGCAAGGCTGGAAATGTAGTATATAAATAAACATATATCTTTTATACGTGACATTAAAATGAACTACAAATAAAAATATTGTCTCCATTAATATTTATTTGGTAGCATTATATTCAAGTGCTTTGAGATTTACATGTGCCACCAGATAGAGGAGCTGTTAATTTTTCAGTACCAGAAATTTTTTTAAAAATAGTTTGACATTGTAACAAAGTGAAGCTCTTGTTTGTGAAAGAATTAGCCCAGTCTAGAATTTCTACCTTTGGTATGTTAAAGGAGAAAATGCTCTTTGGGGAGAGAGATTATATCCTTGTTGGATACTCCTTGCTGACATTGATTTTGCTGCTATGCTCTCCTGAGTTTTAGGCCTGGAAGGAGACTTTGGTTCGCTGAAATAGTCTGTAACAGGTATTGTCATCTTATTTCTTCTTATAAACAATGGAGGCTTGTGCTCAGCCTCTGAAATAGAAAAATATCTAAATAAGACCATAGTTGAGACATCGAACATAGCTTCTGCCACATATCAGAAGCAAATGACATACAGAAAACTATATGAAGGTTAGGTGAATCAAATACACCCAAAATTCAAAAAATAACCTATTCTCATCCTTCTTTCTTACCACTTTCTCATCTTTAATGCATTTTTGTTCTATAACATTCAGATATGTTCTATACTCTTAGAATCAAACATTTTGGTAGGAATGAATTAGAGCTGGTGATGGGTAAAGGTGATGGGCAAGGATGGGAACAGTGAGAGAAAAGAGAAGAACCTACGGTCATGATAGACAAAAGAGAAATACACAAGCAGGTTAAAATAAATTAATTATACTAATGAGACCTTCCCAAGTCTTACAAGGAGGAATAAGGATTTGGTAGATGCTGATTATCAGTGCTAGGGACAAAGGGGTATGATTTGGGTATTCTTATACAAAACATCTTCCAAATATCTAGACAGGGTAAAATAATCTGTGGGACCAACAGGTAAGACATAAAATTAGTGATAGAAACTATCACTGTCAGAATTTTATAGTCCTGGGGTAAAGAGTTTGGTAGGAGAAGTCAGATAGAATAGACCATCCTTGGAGTGTCAGAATAAGGGGATATTTTCTAATTTCTAAATTACACTTATCATTGCCTATTAGCAGATAGAACCTCTTTTGGATTGGTTAACCCCAGTGGAAACTGTTGGGGTCTAGAGTGACCTGAAAGAACTCTAATCAATTACCATGTCCTTCCTGGTAGAAAGGGAACTTGCAGGAATAACAAGACAGACTTTTTGTTTGAGGCTAGTAGACATACTTCATAGTCGTTGCTCTGTAGTCATTGTTGCTGTGCTTATTTTAAAGCTAGGAACTGCCAACCCCCCAGGTAGGTTTCCATTGGGCTATTCTGGACCAGTGTAAGACTTCCCACTATTCTTGATTCTTCTTGGTCCAAATTGTAAGCTGGTTGTGTTTCTGGTGGGGACACAAAACTGTTCCTTTCCATTGTACTTCAGCTTTGTCCTGGGGCAACTGCTTGTGGCTAGTTGCCATTTTATTATTTTCTCTGGTGAAAATCATTTAGTTCAATGACAGTTAAGCTGTGAAGCTCCCAAACTCTGAGGTCACTGTCTTTTTGTTAAATCTTTCAGGGCTTCTGTCACTAAACTGGCGTGACTAAACCTGTACTTCCCTGTGTCCTCTGTTTTGTTTCTCAAAGAGTGTCTGTCACTGAAGAGACACTTGACCTTTCAAAACAAGGTTAAACGTTTGTCAAATTCATCTCTATGAGAAATTCAGCAGCTGCTGTCCTTAGAGTAGCTGAAAATCACTATTGTGTTTTAGTGCCTTTAAAACCTTAATATCTGTGTCCCTAACTAGTTAGTTACTTACTGGTTTCTTTTGTTTGTTTGTTTCTTTTTTAGCTGAGCCATGATCAGCTCAGGCTGGGAATCAAACTGGCAACCCTGTTGCTCAGAGCTCACACTCTTGAGTGAGCTTTTAACCAGCTGAGCCACTCGACCGGTCCCTTACTGGTTTCTTTATATCACTCAGTAATTATCACAAACTGTACTTAACCTTTTGGTACTTCCATATTTCCTTCAGATCCTTGACTTGACACTCTAGATCAATTGGAGAAAGAGAAAATGAAATTCACAAATACAAACAAGTATTTTTTATAGACTTCACTATTATCACATAAGCTAACTTTTATATATCTTTAAATGTCTTTATATCTTAAATATGCTATTCCAATTCTTTATTTTTCAAAGCAGACAATATTAAATGTATTTTCCAATGAAAAGTTCTCCTTACTTTGAGTAAATACCTAAACAGTATATCATATGTTACTCACTAAGTTAGAAAGACTGACCTTGACTATCTCCCAGTTTCCAATTTTATGGAAACTTTAAGGTAGAGACCAATTGCAATATTACAAAATTCTCCTCTGTCTTAATGTTTTTTAACATGACATATTATGTGCTTTGAATATACATTTTTTTCTCTGAATTTAAGCTTTACTCAACTTTTAATTTTAAAGCAACAAGATTTCCCTCCCACCTTAAATAACATTTTACCACATTCTTTCACCATGGTGTTATACATAAATACATATTATTTTCTGTCATTGTAGTTACAAGGTTTAGGAAGAATTTCTACTGAAATAATTTCCAATTCCCTTAATAGTTATTCTTCCCTCTGGCAGCTCCCAGGAGTTTGTCAAATATAATTAAGTGAATCAATTTATTTTAATCTCGTATTATTCTATACAAAATGAAGTGATACCTGTATGATATGCATTTAATAAAATATACAATAATAATACAATTTTGTTTCCTTTATAACTTTTATTTCTAGGTAAACTTAAAAAACTATATTTTCTTAGATTTCTGGATTGCTACTCATGCTTTGAGGAAAGGGAAATTTCCTCAAAAAGAAAGGTTGTTGGGTAAGGAAAATAGCCCCTGCAAAAATGCTCTGAACAGTAGGATTTAGACTGATTCTCATTACATTTATGAAAATGAAAGAAAACAAGTGAACATTGCTGTCATCTACTGAATAAAGGGGAGACTTAAAACCTCAGCGTGTTTAGTGTTTGGAAAGATAATGAAAAGAGAATTCAAAGTCTTTATGTACCATCATATGCCCTCTAGGTGGCCATTATGTCTAATTACCTGGTGAGTTGATGTCCTTCCCCAGATCTGGTCAGCACTTTTGATTTTGCAGGTGAACTTGGGGGCGATTTAACTTTGGGTGGCTTCCCAGTCTCTGCTGCTGGTTCTGCTGAGATGTTTCTTCGGAGGTGTGGCAACAAGTTTATTTCCACCAGCTCAGCATGAATCAAAGCTGAGACCCACTCTTTTTCTAAAAAAGATTTAAAAAGGGGGGAGGGAACACACAAAGGTTGTAATTATAATGCTGGCTAGAAACACTGATTTAGTTTTGTTTATCCAGCACTCCAGAGTGAAAGGTTGGTAACCTGTTTTGATATAGTTACAAGTATATCTAGAAAGATATATACCAAAGTATTCACTGAAACGATGTCTGTGGTAATTTTACTGATTGTTGTTCTTTTATTTTTTTCTGGTTAAGCTGTTTTTCCCCCAACAATAAGCACTTGTTACTGGTGTCATTTTTTTTTAAAGTTACATTCTTAAGAAGGAAAAAAAAATATAGAATAACTAAAGATTCCTTACTTACAAATACGTACTTCTCAATTACCTGCCAAATAGTCTTATCAGGGCCCACCCACCTCAGAAGTTTTTCCTCAGTCTGATTGATGGCCAGCGAGGTTTGAAGATAGCTGCTCCATGCTATTTATGATTGTCCTACTTAGAACTGGCATGTGTTTTCATGTAACATGCAGGAAGGGCCTAAAGGAGGCTAAGAGATGACTGAGTTGATGGTTTTTGTGGGGAACTGTGTTGCTGCCACTCATACCAAAGAAAGAAACTCACTCTGTGTTCAGGGTTCACAACAGGCCAGAAGATACGCTCAGGGAAAACCCTGAGTGTGTGGATTTAGGAGAAGAAGCAGAAACCAGTCCTGGACACAAGTGTCTCACATCACCCAAAGAAGTTCAATATGGAGCATACCACATTTTAGGTCATTAAGTAACCAGCTTGCACGCAGTTGGCTATATAGGACTACAACGATTCTGATACTGAAATGGTGCAATATACTGCAATATATCTTTGCAAATAGATAGATTTGAATTTCTTCAGCTATTGGCACATTCCTAGTGCCTGACAAGTGTTAGCAAATGCTGATTTTAATCTCACCTTTTGAACTTGCATGAAGCAGCCACTGTAGAACTTCTGCCAGAGAATCAGTGTGTAAAATGTTACAGAGCTTTGCCAGAATCTGACAGAGAATAGAAGAGTTACACAGTGAGCAAATAAATAGTACAAGGCTTATAAAGTTCCCTTTATTGCCTCCACAACCTTATCTTCCCAGATGTCACTCTGTACACAGTGCTTAATTAAATCAACTGGGGTTTTAGCTTGGGGGCCAGTGGAATCTTTAAAAAAGCAGTATCTCCAATACAAGTAGTAAAAGTTTAGGTTAGGCAAGGCAACATTCCCCTTGTTTTGTCTGTTCAGTACTAAAATCTTCTGGAGGAGCCATTAATTTTCTTCTCTGGGGAACTGATCCTTTCCCTCAGTACCATGAGGTTCCAATGGGGATCTTCCAGCCTCAGAACTGTCCTCATCTGAACTGCTCCTCTCTGTAGTGGGTGAACTGAGCTGGATTCATCATGGTTCCTCAGCTGAACACAGTGATTGACCCAATGGGAGAGGAAAATAATTCCCTTTTGTCAATCAGAATCCTTCCTTGACAGTTATTTTATCTGGAGGTAAGGGCTGAAGTGTGGATGATAGAGGAGACAAATATATGAAATAATTCTAATAAAAAATGAACTGTAATAAGCATTAAAGTGCAAAGTATTAAGCACATGCAATGATGTTTTCAGTTTGATCCTAAACTGGGTCTGCTGTTGGAATTTAGGCATATCTGAAATTCATACCTGTCTCCTGAACTTCAATCCTATATATACATCTGCCTAGCAAATGAATGCACTTAGATAGCCTATAGTTACTCTGAGCCCAAAATACCTAAAGCTAAACCCCCATCTTTCTCTTCCTAAAACCTGCACCACACCTCCTGTTCCTCCTGGTTCCCATCTCAGTGGAGAGCACCAGCATACATTGAATGTTTGCCAATCCAGACTCTGGGATTCATCCTGGACAACTTTCTTGCTGTTTTCTACAACATATTTCCAAACAATAAGGTTAGTAAATCCTTCCTTCAAATCTCTCCATTTTCCTTTATCAGCACAGCCTTGATCCAGTCTAAACCATCATCAATTCTTCCTTGAGCTACTGCAAAATCCTTTTTTCTAGACTCTCTGCCTGAAATCTTTTCTTAAAATGCTATTAATTCAACCAACATTTGTGTCTGTCATTGATCTAAATGCTAAAAATATAGAATTGAAATTAAAGGACAAAAATTCACTACCTTATATTGAGCTTTGTTATATTATTAAGATCCTTGTCCTCAATAATGTCATATCCTGAAGACATCAAGTTAAATTTGCTCCTGATTTCACATTAAATCAATGGCCGTTGCAAAATTTGAAAAGAACCCTATGGCATTCTCTAGGCCACTCTGCTTCAAATGGTATTTTCATCAGCAATGGTGATTGCACGTTACTTTCAGCTTCTTGTAACTCATACATCACTCATTGATCAACTTTGAGAGAATATAATTATCCTTTTAGTGAGAGGAAATAGAATATGTCTTCCTAGGAAGTCTCCTGCTTTGTCTTCATTGAGTTTTTGTTCTGGAAGGTAGTAAATACATTGTCAGGTGAGTTTAATCTGTTGACAGTTGATTTTAGGATTTAAGAGTGTAGGTCTAGAGTAGCCCCTACCATGGGGCTGGAATACCCCCCTCATTTTTTTAGAGTGTGACCTTTCTGGGGTCTCAACTGAATTCTTGGTGTATTCCACAAGGTCTCTTCACTCTGGCAGATCACAAGCCCAGCATCCCTAAGCAATGTGCCACCTTCCATTAGCTTCCTCCTGCCAGGTCTCAGAGTCTCATCCTCTACATGTGCAGCGTCTCTTGGACTAAAGACTCCTGGAGCCCTATGCAGATTTTTGGAGCTCATTTTCTCCACAGATGTCTCTTCTTCGATATTTTAATTTGCAAATTCCAGCAATCCCAGGATCTGAGCTCTTTTCTCTATTTAGTGAAAAACTGTTTCTCTTTGCTTGGGCTCCACTTTTTTGTGCCATGATTCAGACCATGCCCCAGATAAAAACGTGGAAATCATCCAAATTGTTTTTTTCCTTCTCTCAATAGTCATATACTTGGACTGTCTGTTGCCCAAAACTGCCTGAAGACAGTTTCTTTGTATATTTTTCCCATTTATACAATTGTTTATTATAGGAGGCTAAGTCTTGAACCCAATCTATCATTTTGGAAGCAGAGAACCTTGCCTACAATTTTGCTTCCTCCTACCAAATTCTGCATATGAGTATTGTATCTAGAATAGTTTTTTGAAAGTACAACTCTGACCATGTAACTCTTGTACTTACAAAGTAATTCAGTATAATTTCCGCTTAAAATTCTTTGTTGACTTCCCACAACCCTTTTGGTGAAATCTGAACACCTCAATATGGCTTTTAGAAGTACTTCATTATCTGTCTCTGCTTAGTCTCCAGCCCCATCTCTTGCAACACTCTCCCTGCACTCTCTCCAATTGGCCATATTAATTGCTTTTAGTTTTTGAATAAACAATGTTTTCACCACTTAACCTTTAGATAGAAGTTCTCTTGGCTAAGAATGACCTTTTCCATGCCTCTTTTTATCTTCTAATTATATCTTAAACATTCTTTAGGTTTCTTTCTCCTTGAAGATTTAGCTCCAAAATCTCCTATATGACCTTATAGCACCTGTCAATCCCTCTCATAAGCTCTGTGAATGAGGGAACCAACTGTATCTCCAAATTATAGTATTTTGTCATTTTACTTAAATATTCATAGACTAAATGAATGTGTTTGGCAGACTTTGGTGTCAATAACAGACTGTTATTTATATAAATTCAAGATCTTTGGGAGGAAGGCTAAAAACAAGATCCTAATTGACACAGAATTCTGTTTTCCTTTAAAGTAATAATTGTAAAACTACACACTTTTTCATACACACCCCTGCACAAACATTTCTTTATTTTTTAATTTTTTTATTTTCTTCTTTTTAGCTGAGCCATCCTGCCAACTGTTGGTAGCTCAGTGGCAGCTCAGCTCAGGCCGGGCATCAAACCACTGTTGCTCAGAGCTCACACTCTTGAGCAAGCTCTTAACCAACTGAGCCACTCAGCCGGCTCTATAAACATTTCTTGATTACACAACCCATTCAGAGTTACCAGCCTGGGTCAAAAGAAATTGGAAGATAGGTCATATTTTTTTGTGGAAGGCATAGAAGGATGAAATACCATCAAGATGAGCTCTATTTTTAGGACTCATTTATACAAGCCAAAAAAAAAATTTTTTTAAGATTTTTATTGGGGAATTGGGGGATGGGAACAGCGCTGGGGAATTGGGGGAAGGGGAACAGACAAGTTGCTGTCCTTTCTTTCTTCAGTCTAGTTGTGGAGGACGTTGCTTCACTGGCCCAAGTTGGCATCATCATTGCTCTCTTCCCAGGCGAGGCAGATTAGTTGCCGGCTTCTGGATGGCCGCTCACACTGGCTGCTGGCTACACACGGTAGCCCATGACACCTCACTGCAGCAGTGGCTACAGCCTACGCCTTTGCCAGCGACTCACGGCCGCCCAGCTCCAGGTTGAGCTGTTGTTCAGCATCTTAGCTGTGGAGGGCAGTGTCACTGGCCCTTATATGTGGGATCCAAACCGGGGCCCTCTGCTGTCCCAAGCCAGCTCTTAACCAACGCGCCACTTGGCCGGCCCCAAAAAATTTTAATAAGACCTATTTTCTCACTTTACTCCCCCTCCTTTCATTTATTTAACAAATAGTCAACTGCCATTCTGTGTGTGTCAGTTAATATTTTTCAAGCAAAGCATAAGTGCTAGAAATCACTTGTGAACAACATAGACAAGATCCCTTCCTTTATAGAGTTTACATTTTAGTGGATTTTGTATCAATTGATGTCTAGTTAAGTCAATATCTGTAAGGTGGAAGATGCTTTTGAAAGGAGGGTTCTTTAACTGATGCCCACAAGGCCAGTTTTATAGGATCATGCTGATCTGTTGACGTGCCCAAGGAAGCAAGGCAGCCTGACTGAAAACGGCATTCAGCTTACGGTTCGGTTGAGTTGACGGCCTCTGTGGTTAGCTGATCTTCTACAGTTCTACCTTGGCCTTGATAGAACTTTTTAATTTATGTATTCCACATTCAATAAGTACTTATTTAATACTTATAGGTGCCTAGCACTTATCTAGGCACTGAAGACAAAGCAATAACCAAGACAGAAAAGTATGAGATCATGTAAGGCTTAAATTCGAGCATGAGTGGGGTGGGGAGGCAGAGGCAATATTGGAAAAAAAAATGAACATATCAGATATGGCATGTGCTATGCACAAAATAACAAAGGACAATGGGATAAAGAGGGACTGGGTAGCTACCTTAGGGGGTCAGGGAAAGTACTTCTGCTTAAGTGGTATTTAAACTGAGACCTTAATGAGAAGATGGTGACCACTGAAAGGATCAAAGAGAAGAGACTTCTTAGTAGGGGAAAACCCAGAAGGGAGGAAACGAGCAAATTATAGAAAGATCAGTGGTGCCAGAGTGTAGTGGGTGAGGCGGGCAGGGATTCTGAAGACTGTGTAATGTAAAGTCTTTAGCCATAATTATCAGGAAATCATGTATAAACACAAGTCATATCCCTTCTTGTCCTTCTTCATTTTTCTTCTTCTTCCCAATTTTAATCATCAGCATAAATTATTATACCTTTACTTTTAAAATAGCTCCTTATCAGGATTATTCAATAACAACCCTTAGATGTTATCCCTTCTTGTCCTTCTTCGTTTTTCTTCTTCTTCCCAATTTTAATCATCAGCATAAATTATTATACCTTTACTTTAAAAATAGCTCCTTATCAGGATTATTCAATAACAACCCTTACAACATGCTCTGTTATTTGCAATTGCTACTGTGGATACTTATTTAAAATTTCTATCAGAGTCATCATTACAATATTTTGACCCTTAATTCATTGTAGTGGTTCTTACAGTGAGGCAAGGTGGAGGTTACCAAAAGGGCCTAAAGAAAGAAAACAAAGAATAGCAGATGACAAACATCAACTGATTGATTTACTCTTGATTATATGTCATTCTCAGACATAACTGTGGCTAGAGAAAACTGTCTATTAGTATGATGTGACATATTACTATTAATACAACTAAGTTTATAGCCTCAGGCAGAGAAAGTTTGAGGAAACAGTTTTCTATAGATAAGAGGGAGAGAGATGAATGCTTTAAAATATGTGAAGGAAATGTATCGATAATGGCTGATGTCGGGGAAAGTGCCTCTCAAGCATTCAGAAGATGATAAAGAGAATAGGACCAAAGTTGTTTGGTCAATGCCAAGCTTTTCATTATGTCTAAACCAAAGGTTGTGTTTCTTTAAGAGTGACGGGATTTCAGGGAGAAGTAAGACTGCAAATGAAATAGGAGCAGGCCTTGAATTTCAGGCTAAGCAATTTTAAATTAATTCAGTTGTCAAAGGGGACCCGCCAAAGTTTTAAGGGTGCTACATGATGTCATTTTTGTTGTTCTTTGTTCATGCTGTTCCCCAGTTATGGATTAAGTAAACCTGCCTCTTACTTTGATTTCCTGATCCAGATAGTTTGGTATGCATATGGTGTTCTCTTTGGCACTAGTCTTGGTATTCATCACCTCTGAAAAACAACAGCCAGCAGTAGAGTGTGCCTTTGGAGGTAAGGGTGGATTTTTTACCTTAATTTCTTCCTAAATCAAAGATATGATATAATCAACATAAACCTGCATCCACTTACATTTTATATAAAAATTAAATGTACTGACTCATTTTATGAGGCCAGCATTAACCCTAATAACAAAACCACACAAAGACATTATAAGAAAAGAAAGAACAGACCAATATCTGCCATGAACATACATGCAGAAATCCTCAACAAAATATTAGCACATCAAATGCAACAATGTGTAAAAAAATTATATACCATGACCAAGTAGGATTTATCCAAGGTATGTAACACTGGTTCAACATTTAAAAATCAATTAGTGTAACCCATCATATCAGCAGGCTAAAAAAAGAAAAATCACGTGATCATATCTATAGATTCAGAACAAGCATTTGACAAAATTCAACTCCCATTCATGATAAAAACTCTCAATCATTTATATGACTAAATTAGAACTTGCTATTAATAAAACTGTTGTACTAATAGGTAAATTATAAGAATGGGTAGGAGACATATATAACCTACCTATGGCTTCAGAAATTTTAGAAATAGTGCCTCATGATACATTCAGTTCGTAAGTGTACCTGTATGTGTGTGTTTCCATACACACTTCTATTTTGCTGATACCATCCATGTAACTACATATGTAGTTATTTACATAATGTAGTTATGTAGTTATTTACATAAATCATTATTCATGTACTAGTTTGTATTGTCCATTGTGTTAGTCAATGTTCCTATATAAATTTCTGTACAATAAATATCAATAAGTGGAAATTTTGGACAAAAAAAATTAAATGTAAATGAATAAGAAATATTGTAGCTAATTGAGAGATAGACATAAAAGTAAAAAGAGATTAGTTATAATCCTCCCTTAAATGCCAAATTTTAAAATATTTGCATTTGGAGACAGAATAAATAGTAATATATTATTTACTTTTTGTCAAACCATTTTAAACCCTTGGCTGAACATTAAGATAATAATTTTTAAGTGTTTAATATGTAACTTTTATTTGTATGAATAGTTCAGATAACAACCAACTCATGACATATAAGATTTTCTGCTGAGTGGGGAAGATCTCTCTTTTATGACCAGAAATGACAGCCGAGAGGTTTTACGCTATGTCTGCGAAGAGACTACATGATGTGAACTGTTGTTTCCAACAGTTCTGCTAAATGTCAGCTGAGAGCTGGAGAGTGAGAGAGAGAAACTAAATTAACTTTCCTTGATTAGTTGGAAGAAGAAATAAAAAGTCTATTTTCTTGTTCTGGGAGGTAAATACAATGTTTGCAATTCTTTTTAAGTAAGATTGTAGGAGCTTTATGTCCAAGAAAAGTTATATGTCTATGTGCTTATTCCAAGAAAGGCTTTTTAACCTTTAGAAGTGAGTGATATATAAAGATACACAGAAGCTAGTGGCTGACTGAGTCAACAACCAGGGACTGTGATGACTGGAATTGATAGAACAATGTTTAGCTGTTGATGTTTACTGAACATAAAGCTATACTGTATTTAGAGGCATTTTTTTGTTAAAGTTTATTATGTAGACTTCTTTTTTTGGGGATAGTAATATACTTTTTGCTGTCATTGTTTAATCCTCCCATTGAACACAGCTAAAAAGTCAGATTAAAATTAAAAAGCAAACAAACAAACAAGCAAAAAACTGTCAAGGACTGACTAAGGTAGGAATGAATAGATCAAAAGTGAAGGGGAAGTGAGAAGCCTGAGGTGTATCCAAGTGCAGCAGCCATTTTTGCCCTGAAGTCATTATCTGATTCAGAAAAATAAGAATTCTCCTTTTGACTCTCCATAAGGTCCTGAAAGACAGGACTCCAAGTTCAGGACCCAGATAAGGGCCACGCCAGGACTATTCTCTCAAGGAGAAGGTGAGCTAGAAATGTAACAGTCCTTGAAGAAACATAGCCTGAGACAAAGGTTTGAACTTGGTTTAAATTGATCTAGGCTGGTAGGGCCACTGGATTCCTATAGAAGCAAGTGTAAATTTTCTCTGGAAAAAAATCCATTTACCATGGGCTTCAGATTGCCACAATTGTTTTTTCATACACATTATCTAGCAATTGAGCTGTGAGTCAAGAAGAAATTATAATGCAAATTAAAAAAAAAATTTTAGCTTAACACTAATGACAATGTTACATAGTAAAAATTATGAAAGAAGCTAAAGGAATCCTCAGAGGGGACTTAATACCTTTAAAATGTGGTTGTATATTAGAAAGATAAAAGAAGCTAGAAAAAGAACAATAAAATGAAGTGTGTGAATAGAAAGAAAAAAGACAACAGAATTCATCAAAATAGAAAATATACAATATAAAAGATAAAAAAACAAAAATTAGTTCTTTGATATACTAATAAATTGATAAACTTCTGTTGAAACTGATTAAAAAAAGACACAAATGAACTAAACTGATATGTAACAGCATATACCTTACGGATCCTACAGATATTTTTAAAAGAATATGAGGATATTATATATAACATTGTCAATAAATTTGATTGTTTATATAAAATGAACAATTTTTAGAAAATAATATGTTACCAAATCAACTCAAGGAACAATTTTGTAACAAAATAAATTTCAAATCAGGATTGAAGATAGTAATTTTATAGTGATTAAAGGGTCATTTCATCAAGAGGACATACCAAACCTAAAAAGTTATACTCCTAATAAGAAAGTTTCAAGCAACATGATTAAAAAATGATATAAATGAAAATAGAAATCCACAATTATAGTCAGAGATTTCAACACCTCTCTCTCAATAATTGATAGAAAAATTAGACAGCAAATCAGTAAGGCCATAGAAAACTTGAATGACAGTATCAACCAAATTGACCTAATTGATATTTATATTACATTCTACCCAACAACCTCAGAGTGAATATTCTTTTTCATGGGCCCATGGAAAATTTATCAAGGTCGATCATATTCTGGGCCATATAATAAATCTCAATCAATTTAAAAAGTTGAAAAGTATTCTGGGCCAGAAGTAATTAGCCAGTGTAGACATCCATGTCTGTGTGAAGGGTGGTGGTCACATGGCCCAGGTTTATGCAGTCTACCAGTTCATCTCTAAAGCTCGACAACATCCTCATCCAGTATGACCAGATCCTGCTGTTAGCTGATCCCCTAACATAATAAATGCTGTGAATTTAAAAAGCTCAGAAGCCCTGGTGCCAGTGCTCACTACCAGAAATCCTACTGAGAAGCCATCATGGGGATCGGGGTTCACCTTTATAGTAAACAATCGTTGTGGGATTTAAAGTTTAAAAAAAGGGTATGTTCTCTGACCACAATGGAATTGAATTGGAAATGAAGCAGATTTATATAGTATCTTTAAAATCCCCAAATATTTGGAAATTAGATAACCTAATTTTAAGTAACCCATGAGTCAAAGAAGAAATTCAAAAAGAAATTTTAACAGAATGATTTTGAACAGAATGAAAATGAAAACTCAACATGATCAAGTTTTGAGGATGCAGCCATAGCACTGTTTATACAAAAAATTATATTAAAACATGTTTATATTAGAAAGGAAAAGCGTCTCAAATCAGGCATCTAAGCTTTCACCTTTCAAGCCAAAATCAATGAAAATAGAAAGAGGAAAAACAAAACAGTGGCGATAATCAGTGAAGGAAAAAGCTGACCTGTAAAATAATCAGTAAAGTTCTTAAACTTCTAGCTACATACACCAGGAAAAAAGAAGACACAAATTACCAATATTAGGAATAATGAAAGAACATTTCTACAGATCATATAATCATTAAAAGGATATTTTATGAATGCCTTTTTATCAGTAAATACAACTTAGATGAAATAGACAAATTTCTTGAAAAACATAAACTCCCAAACTCACTAAAGAAGAAATAGATAACCTAAATAGCCTATATCTATGAAAATGAGAAATTGAATTTGTAGTTAAAAATCTTGACTCAAAGCAAACTCCAGCCCTGATGGCTTCACTGAAGAATTCTATTAAACTTTTAAAAAAGAAATACCAATTCTACACAAAATCTCCAAGAATATTAAAGAAGAGTTCCCAACTTATTCTTTAAAGCTGGTATTATGCTGATTCTAAAACCAGAAAAGACATTACAAATAAACTGCAAATATTCCTTATTAACATAGACACAAGAATGCTAAAAATATCTTGTGAAATTAAATATATAAAAGGGATCCTGACCAAGTGGGTTTTTTCCCCATGAATGCAAGATTTGTTCAACATTTGAAAGTTAACCAATGAACTTTACCTTATTAACAGACTATAAAAAGAAAAATAATGTGATAATCTCAAATCGATGCAGAAAAAGCAACTGGCAAAATCCAACCCCCATTTCTGATTAAAAAAAAAAACTCTCAGAACACTAGTAATGGAAACGAATTCCTCAGCTATATAAGGGTACTTATGAATAAAGTAAATTAACATCATACTTAATGGTGAAAGTCTGAATGCTTTCCTCCTATGATTTAGATAAGGCAAGGATGTCTGCTCTCACCAGTTCTCTTCAACATTGTACTAGAAATTCTGGCCATTACAACAAGGCACAATAGAGAGATAAACAGCATGTACATTTGAAACTATAATAGAAACATTTTTAATGTGGGCTTAATAAATATTACGAATTTTGCTTGCAAAAGATACAGTTACAGGAAAAGTAAACCTCAGACTGAAAGAAAATATTTGCAAAATATATATGTGACAAAAGATTTATACCTAGAATATATAAAGAACTTTTATAACTTCATAAGAAGAAGACAAACAACCCAATTTAAAAAGTAGGCAAAAGATTTGAACACACACTTTCCATAAAAAGATATATGGATGGCAATTAAGAACATGAAAACATGTCAACCTCATTAGTCATTAGGGAAATGCAAACTAAAACTACAATGAGATACCATTACACACCCACTAGATTGGCTAAAATAAAAATACTGGCCGTACTAAGGATGTGGAGGAAAGGAACGTCTTATACACTGCTGCAAGAATGTAAAATGGTATAACCACGTTGAAAAACACTTTGGCAGTTTCTTAAAATTCTAACATACACCTACTAAAAGACCCAGTCATTCCCCTTCTAGGTATCTACTCAAAAGAAAAGAAAATGTCCATACAGATTAGTACACAAATGTGCCTATCACCTTTGTCAAAAATTGGAAACAAGCTAAATGTCCATTAACAGGTGAATGGATAAACAAATTGTAGGATACCTATACAATTGAATACTCCCCGGCAATAAGAAGGAATGAAGTATGGAGGCACATAGCAACATGGATGAATCTTAAAGTAATTATGAATTAAAGAAACCAGATAAAAAAAGAGAACACAGCATGTGATGTCATTTATATAAAATCCTCCAAATTACATGCTAAATCTTTAGTGATAGCAGGTAAATGTTTGCCAATGGGAGGGACAGAGTCATGAGAAAACTTTTGGGAGTGATGGATAAGTTTATTCTCTTGATTTCATTGGTGGCTTCCCAGGTGTGGATATATGTTTGTCAAAACTCATCAAATCGTGCACTTTAAATATGTGCATTTTATGTCATGTTAATATACTTAAAGCTGTAAAAATACTGTTTTTTTCAGAAAGATTTGTGGAAAAAAAGGATAGAATTCAAACTAAATAGGTAGCTGTAAATAGTTGTTTCTTTACCTTTTGAATTACTAAGGGATTCTCACTGGAAGTTTTGAAACACTCCTTGATTTTTCTACAGGGCTCTGAAATGATATTGAGGAAAAATATATTTAGATCAAACAGAAGAACTTCTATCACATGCCATATATGACATCAGTTGCTAAAACAGATGAGAGTACTTCTGAATTTCAATTAAGGGCAACTGGGGACCTGTTTATAAATATTAGAAAACCTGCAGGTAAAATTATACTACAGTAACATAATAAAACATATTTATATTACAAAACTAATTCTAGGCCCAGGAAGATGATATAAAGAAACACTGCAAGAGCTTTCTTGATCTGGATAAACTAATTTTTGAAAGTACATAGTTCAGTGTAAGTCATGTTTTTCTCTGTTTCCTATCCACATAACTGTCACTTTCTCAATTAAAGAGACTGTGTGTGTGCTGTGTGCCCTGTAGACAGAGAGAGAAGATGTATGCTGACTTCTTACTACATTATTTCTTGCTTCAACAGCCTCTCAACCCTACCCATTTCATACAGTCATCCAACTAAATCCCCCTATATTTCCCTAAAACCACTTAAACATTTACTTATTTTTTTTACATTAATTTAAAGATATATTCTGTGTAAGTGATACTGTCTTTTTTACTGAAGCCATAGTTAACACAGCAATTTTTTTTAAAAGGTGAAAAAGATTTTGTGTATATAACTAATGGTAACTAAATTCATTACTTAGAGTAGGGAGAGCAAAGTTCTGTGTGTGAGTCTGTTTAGTGTTTTCTTGTGGGAAACAGAAACTAGCTATTTTAAGCAAAAATGTAAATAAAACAGGGAATTAGTTGTTTGTGATATCATTGGAAGGGCTGGAACAGTGAACTCTGGTCGTGACCCTTCACAAATCATTTCAAGAACAGCACGTTCCACCTGGCCCACCAAGAGGGAACAGCCTTTATCACAATCGGGAGGAAGGGGTGTCATGGGGTCATTGCCACTTCAATTGCTGTCACAACACCCATGAGGCTAAAAGGATTAGGCCCTGGATCGCTGCTGCAATCAGAAAGCTACCATATCTGCTGACTTTGCCTTTGATGCCTATAAATCCAGAAGCTGAATACTGGGATGTTGCAGGCAAAAAAAAAAAAAAAAAAAAAAAATCCAAAAAACCCATGTCTCCAGTCATGCTTAATAGCAGACATCAACCAAAAAAATAACTTTAGCCCACATCCGCAATATAATTTTACCAGATGGCAACATCTAATTCCCATCAAGGGACTCTTGCAAATGTAATTTTTAAGTTTCTATGTTTTACAGTATAAGGGACACCAGAAAGATGGAATAAGTGGGCTTTGATTCTTCATTGCTAGTGGAAAGGAGGGAAGAGGAACTTCTAAAAAGATGAAATGAGTTCACAAAGCTGAAGACCTTAGAATGGAATCATATAGTAAGTACTCTATTAACGATCCCTCTTATTGTTATCTTTTGAAAGGTATGTATTTTACCACATTATACCAAAATAGTTTTCATGTGCCCAGGAGCTTTAGTAATAGCATGTAATTGTATAGGGCAGGAGAAAGAGAGCACGATATAATTTCTGCCATCCAGAATTCCTTCCATTTTACCTTGACCTTTAGATTTTGCCATACTATAATTTTGTTTTTGTGTTAATTTAAGGCATGCAACATAATGATTTGATATGTGTGTATATTGCAAAATGACTATCACAATAAATTTAGTTAACATCCATAACCTCACATAGTTATAATTTTTTTTCTTGTGATGAGAACTTTTAAGACATACACTCATAACTTCCAAATATATAATAGAATACACTATTGTTAACTATGGTCATGATGCTGTACTTTTGATTAATCCCTCTTCATTTCAAGTCAGTAAACATTAATTCATTAATGAAATTGTTTCCTAAAGACCAGGCACTGTGCTGGAACCTTGGGAGATACCAAAAATAGCAAAACCACAAAGCCCTGACCTTAAAGAGGTGACTGTCCAGTAGGGAAGATGTAAACATTAATTCCATCTCTATTGCATTGCCCTGACTCACTTTTTGTCTGAAGTAATTTTCCTATCAATATTAGCTAAACATTCGTTTTTGGTATCTCTTAGCTACTTTTGTAGGGACTGGAGACTAGAACCACACCAAGTATGCCTTGTGCATAGTAATTATTAACATTTTTGAACTACTGAGTTGAGATTAGATGAGTGAAAATTTTTTATAATGAATAACCTATTGCACAGTGAGAAAATTTCATGACTACTTAAAAATCACTGCAGCTATATTAGTAATCATATATGTAGCTTTTTTGTCCCTGATAGTTTGCAGGAGGCCTCAGGAAAGATTTCATCTGTTGAGAGGGACTCACCAGAATGGGGCCGTGGGGGGTCCCCTTTGACCCTGATTGGGTCTTGTGGGACTTCTCTGACTGTGCTCTCCAGGGCTGCAGTGCTGGGTGGATATGGTATTTCATCCTTCTCTAAGTGGTTGAACTGGCCAACACCCCACAATGTTCCAAATGAGTTTTCATCGTCTTTTACAGTACAGATCGGAATGTTATTCAAACCTAGGTGAGTAAGGATAAAAAGACCAAACCACTAGGTTAGGTTTGGGGCAGGTTTTCTTTGAATGATCAGTGACTTCCCTCCCAACCAGATATTGTTAAATATATGTAAGATATCGGACTTCACACTGTATGAACCAGTGCTAATCTTTGAAAGTCAGTGTTGCAAATTATACTTACAATACATGCCTCCTTAAAATGTTCCACCATCTTGTTAGCTTTGAGAACTGTGCCCACATCTTTGTTCTTGGTCTTAGAGTCAAGTAGAGTAGATCTGCCTCTATCCCAGACAGAATTCTTATTTACCAAGTTTTGATAATGACCAAGAGGGGTTATGCTAGTCCTCTTTATGAATATCAGATTGAGATTTTTGAAAGCATCCACAATGTCTTAGTGTAGCAAGGCCTCCTAAAAGACGTATGCTGGCTCTTATTTTGTACTGGTGAAGATATAAAGCTGTGGGAGCCAGAAATAGGAGGCAGGATAAGATAAATTATGAGGGCAGGAAAGAAGGAAAACGGGGTACAAAAGACCTCCTTCCTCATGTCAGAGCATTCCAGGTTCATTCCCCCGCCTACAACAGCTATTTGCTTTTGGCTCAAATATTGATTTATAGACAGGTCGTCTTTTCAGTTTCAATGCTATGTCATGTCATATTGGACAGCTGAGGAAATGGGGACACACAGGGCACTGCTCTATGTTAGTCAGTGAATTATGAGAAGTAGTAATAGATGGCTGCTTTGTTTCACAAGAAGTTGTACAGAAAGTTTCTCGATAGTGTGTTTCATAATTGCCCCTTCTTCCAAATCTCCCTTTAGTACCATTGGTCCATGTTCTTCTTATCTATCTGCTCAAATGGTATTTGCTGACAACCTGTCTGAAATACACCCCATCACGTTGTCTCCCCTTATGCTCTTTTATTCTTTCCATAACAGTTGTCACCTGTCATGCCTGTTTGCACACTGCTGGGCTGAGCTGCTCTAGGATATAAACTTCATGAAAGCATAGATTTTGTCAGTTTCATTTGCTGCTCTATTCCTAGTGTCTAGAATAGTGGCAGGCACAAAGTAAGTGCTCTATGATTATTTGTTAAATGAATGAATAACATAGCCAAATATAAAGCTTTTATTTAGTATAATACTTTGAACTTCACTGATAGTAACTGGTTCCAAATAGAAATGAGACTAAAATTTTGAAGACAGTGTCACATCTTATCATTTTATCTTAAACACCTGGGTTAGCCCAGGTGCAGAGTGAAAAATTGCTTATCAAATGAAATATATAAAACATTAACACAGAGACAAAGCAGCTGGAAAATCCCTATTTTCTCTGCTACCTCCTTTAATTAGTAAAAGGTGTGTGTGTGTGTGTGTGTGTGTGTGTGTGTGTGTGTGTGTGTGTGTGTGTAATTCAAGGAAGAATGTGAAATAAGATATAGAGGGACATACCACATACTTTCAAGTATTTAAAGTCAGAAAAAATTATACTCATTTTAGTAGCATTTGCCTCGATAGGAAAAAAAGAAAAACACCCAAAACAGTTCCAACTAAAATGCAATGTTTTTCTCATATGGGTCTCAAAAAACCCTGTCCTCAGATTTTGCCAAGACAGTAGATTCCGAGGCCATTTGTGACTTCCTTGTTGTAACATGTTTGCTTTCCCTTGGCCTTATCTTCCTAATTTCCTTTAGGACCTTGGCTGTGATGGCCACTCAGCCAGCCATTCTCCTTGAATCTTGTTTATCTCACAGCCCTGCGCCTCTCCTCTCTGTGCCGCGCAGCTGGGCTTTCCTCTTGCTCTATCACAAAGTTCGACCTTCACTTCTCTGCTCCTTTCTCTGTCCTGAACCCTCCTCCTTATCCCTTCTCACTTGGATGATCGAGTTAGTCTTTTAACTGACCTCCTAACCTCATGAAGCCTGCTCCTCTTCCACTTTCTATAATACAGTTAAAAATGAATTTTTTAAAAATGAAATTGCTTGCTTAAAGACACACAACTACTAGATGGCTGAGGTAGAATTAGAAATCCTGTTTAAAATCTGTCAGTTGCTCCGTAATTTTACCTGGATGAAATTGAAACTCCCTTCTTTCCTTCCCCAAGAATTTAGCACCTCCCTCGTGGCAGCCCCTTCTTGAACAATTCAAATGAGTGGTGAGCAATACAAACACACCTCCTACTTTCAAGGCGCTCACAATTTTATGGAAGGTATTTGTTCCTAATCAAATAAAACTAAATATTTAGGCATAAGCCACAATAATTGCCGTAGTGGATGCTGTGGTCCACTTACCACCTACCTAGTGCCTTTAGGACCAAGGCACTCATCGTCCCACCTGCCAGGTGTGTCAGCTACTGATGGCTCATGCTGAGTCCCCCTCTGGGATTTGCTCTCAGCTGAAGGGAGTGCTCATCCACAATGGGAGCTTGAGCAACGACGGGTTGACGGGTGTTACAGAGGCCTGGCCCCCTCGCCTCCAGTGGAGACACCTCTCAAGAGCCATCCACTGTTCCCTGCGGGACTGACTGAGTCTGTTACCGCATCTACATCTCAGTTCAACTTTTGCTCAGTCCTGCTCAGTCGCTTGCCTCCTTATACGTGACGTTCCCAAGAATACTCTCCAGTAAACTTCCTTCACACAAAACTCCATCCCAGTTTTATTTCCAGAGAGACTGATCTAAGTCAATGGCTCTAACAGAAAATATAAAGTACTAATGATAATATGCCATAGGGAAATCTAATTTAGATTGAGGATGTGGTGACTGGACTGTTTCTTTTAAGTGATATTTATACCAATACATAAAAAATGAGAAAGAACAAATACTGAAGGAAAGAGTTTTATGACTAGTGGGAACAGTATGAGTGAAAATCTAGAGGTGTATTTTCATGTTCAGGGAACTTAGACAAGTCCAGTGTGGCATGTGTATGATTAGGGGGTGGGAGGGTATCGATATGAGGCAGAGGCCACATCATCGTGAACATTTTAGCCTATGTCAACATACCCAGTGTTATCCTAAGGGCATGGGAAGATTTTGAAGGGTTTTGGGTAGGATGTTTAAACAGTTCAGTTTACATTTTAATATGATCTTTCTGGTTATTCTATGGAGAATGGATTAGATGAGGGCAAGGGTGGAAGTAGAGCATTTAGGGGGCTACAAATTGCAAAAGCAGTAGTCAGAGCAAGAGATCATAGTGGCCTTGAAAGGAGCTGTAACAGTGGCCATGGAGAGAAGTGACTTAATTTACAAAACAGTTGGAAGAAGAAAGTGACAAGATCCAATGAAGTATTGAAAGGGAAAGAGAGGGAGGAGTGAAGGGCATTGAATTCATAGTACCATTTGCTAGTTAGGGTAGACTAGTTGGAGGACCACACTTTTCAAGAAAGATCAAGAGTTCAGTTTCAAAGAAGAAAATTCAAGATGCCCACGAAGCATCCAGCGCCTCACATATAGGTCAAGGGGACGGTGGAATACAGAGGTCTAAACTTTAAAAGAGGAGTCTGAGTCTAAGATACTATACATTTGAAAATATTAGCCCTATAGAGGGTATTTGAAACTTGTGAATGGGTTATTTTGACTAGAGTCACAGTAGACTAAAGAGAAAAAATGGCCAAGGACTGAGTCGTGAGGGCCTCCAACATTTACTGCAGAATCAGCAAAAATAAAAGCGGGGAAAGAGAAACCACAGAGGTAGGGAAAAAACTCAGAAGATATGATGTTACAGAAACTAAATTTAAATTTTGAAAGAAAGACAGGGAAGGAGGGTGGGAAAGATGGATGGAGGAAGAGATGAAGGAAGGAAGGAAATTAGGAAGAAAAGAATGAAGGGAGGAAAGGAGGGAAAGAGGAAGGAGAGAAAGAAGAGAGAGAAAGGGAGGGTGGGTAAAATACATGCTTCACCAGGGTTGATGTTCAGCGTGTAGATGCTAGCATGAGTGTGCAAGTTGTTAAAATACTGAAATACTTTCATACCATTTGGTCAGTTGCTGCCCTGAGCTCCTCGATTGTCCCCTTTGGCACTTCTCCAGGCCTTTTTCCTAACAATCGAGTAATCCAAGCATGAAGGCGGGACACAGAGGGTGCCCGCCAGCCTCTGCTCTAGCTCCTGGGCTGACACTGGTCTCAATACAATGCTTGTGCCTCGGCAGTGGTCAAATATTTTCAATAGTACCCCTGTGTTTACCCACCAGAATCATCAAGTGGCCCAAGTTTAGAGGAGAGAGACACATTCTAGGACCTTGAGTCACCTTACCTTTGATGTGGCAGACCCTTCTGGGATGAGGGGTATGTCTGACCAGAAAACAACTTTCATTTTTCTCCATCATATGTCTGCCTTTGCTCTCAAACCGAAGAGCAGATGTTGGAGATTTAAGGCTCATGTTCATGGAGTGTTGTTTCCCTCTCTCCACGGCTGCCACAGAATGTCTTGGGGCCTGCCTTGTTAACCTCACTTCCGCTTCCCGTGGTGCTCAGACCCTGAAATCACAGAATGACATTTGCTCTGACAAGGGGTTCTCAAGATTTTCTTACACAGCAAACATTTCCCCACCTTCTTTGTTTGCACTGGATTGTTTTCATGCCAAAGCAGCGAGAGGCTCTTTTACTTGCAAACCAAATTGTTGTAAACATTGAAATCAACATAGGCCTAGGTAGGACAGAAAAATATGTTCCCTGGAAAAATCAAAATATTTGTGAGAAAGTTAAAGTATATTCTATACTAAATAGCTTTGAAGTTTACTTTGTTGGCTTACTAACATAAAAATACATAACATTGTTATTATCAATATTGGTATAGTAAATTAAAATAATTGCTTTAAAATATTAACACCATACCCACAAATGTGCTTTACATTAAATTAATTTTAAATGAGGACCTTTCCTATTGTACTTTAATAAAATCAGCATCGTAAATTTGTGTCATCTTTTGAGAGGATGTTAAAACCTGAAGGAGAAAAAAAAATCCAATAGCAAAAGAATCATATTACATTTATAGATGATAAACTGGAGAACCCTTGTCATGTTGTCATTTGCAATATTCAGTAGTATGTAATGATGTTCCCTTAGTCACTCAGCACCATTTATTAGACATGTACAGTGTCATAGGCCTAAGGGATGAAAGATAATGTCATGACTCTTGGGGAATTCACAGTCATTTGGGAAAGAAAATTTCTGGCTTAGGAACATAGGAAAGAGTTATTTAAACTTTCCTAAAGATGGCATACTAGTCTTGAAATTGAAGAAGGATTTTTTTTCTGGTGTTTGTTATATATTTCCTGTCTTACATGGAAATTGTTTTCATCACAGCTATATTATAAGATATATATTTTATTTCTAACTGTAGCAGGGAGTTTTTCTGGCCAGAACAATTTACAGTATCAAAATATTTCCATATTCTAGAAATTGATCTCAAGAATGTGTTGGGGCAGATATTTTTAGTTCATTGACTATCTTTTTAGACCACAGCAACCTGTATTCAAGTTTTTCATGAATATATTCAGAATGTATGGTATATTAATTATCAGCCCTCTTGCCACAAAACATCTGATTTTTATAAATTTTTAAATTATTCTAGTCTGAATAAAATATATTACAATATTTTGAATTCAGAAAATACTATTATCTAACAATAAAAATATTTTTATTGTTACTTATGAATAATGAGGAGGTAGTTCTAACCTCTTTGTAAAAATTAAGCCTTAGACTTACTCTGTGTGGGACCTTTGTTACAATCAGGTCAGTAAATTCATTTTTTATCTGTATTCAGAAAAAAAGGTACAGTAGGCAGTTTGGAGAGTGAAAAGGATGCTGAACTGTAATTAAAAAGTGGGACTTATGATCCCAGCTTTGCCATTAATGAGTGAAGTGATCGTGGGTGAATTGTTTTATTTCCTAGATTTTGGCTTGCTTATCTGAAACCTGTGAGTCTGCTGGAATGTCCGCTGGAATACTTAGCTCTTCTACATTGTGTATCTTCTCTACATCAATTCTCTTAGGTTAATTTGAAGGATAGCGATATACTTTAAATTCTGGTGTAAAAGATCAACAAGCAAACAATGCAGAGAATTCTTCTTCCTTTTCTTATGCAAATCACAGTGAAGTCTGAATTCATCTTGCTCTTATATTTCAAAAGGTGCTATAGTGCTTACTCTTGGATTATAGAAAATTTAATAGTCTGATGTTATAATTTTTTTTCTTTTCTTTTTTTTTTTAGCTGAGCCATCCTGCTACCTGTTGGCAGCTCAGTGGCAGCTCAGCTCGGGCCGGAAATCGAACTGCTGTTGCTCAGAGCTCACACTCTTGAGTGAGTTCTTAACCAACTGAGCCACTTGGCCTGCCCTGATGTTATGATTTTTATGCTTTCTATTGGAAGTTTCAAAATAATGTTAAATGAATAAAGGCAATATATAAATATTTTGTCTACACATATCATTAAAAATTCTACAATTCTATTGAGAGTCTTATTTGAACTTAAAATTTCAGAACTAAAGTAAATGAATAACTCAAGAAAAAGTTGTACTTGATTTGTTTAGCAAGTAATCTAATAATAATAAAATAAAACTAGCTCAAGCATGAGGAAAAGCAAAACTATGTTTTGCTCTGTGAAAGACACTGTTGAAAGAATGAAAAGACAAGTCACAGACTGGGAGAAAATATTTGCAAAATATAGCTAACAAAAGACTTGTATCTGAAATGTACAAAGAACACTAAAATTCAACAATAAGAAAACAAATAGCCTAATTAAAAACTGGGCAAAAGATCTGAACAGACACCTCATCGAATAAGATCATCAGATGGCAACTGAACACATATATGAAAAGATGCTCAACATCATTTGTCATTAGGGAATAACAAATTAAAACAACAATGAGATACCACCATACACCTATTAGAATGGCTAAAATCCAAAACACTGATAACATCAAATGCTGACAAGAATTTGGAGCAACAGGAACTCTCATTTATTGTTAGTGGGAATGCAAAGTGGTACAGCCACTTTGAAAGGCAGATTGTCAGTTTCTTACAAAGCAAAACATAGGCTTACCATATGATCCAGCAGTCATGCTCCTAGGTGTTTACCCAAAGGAGTTGAAAACTTATGTTCACACAGAAACCTGCACATGAACGTTTGTTCATAATTGCCCAAAATTGAAAGCAACAAGGTTTCCTTCAATAGTGAATGGATAAATTGTGGTACATCCATATAATGTAATACTATTCAGTCCTAAACAGAAATGAGCTATCAAGCCATGAAAAGACATGGAGGAACCTTAAATGAATATTGCTAAGTGAAAGAAGCCAATTTGAAAAGGCTACATATTGTATGATTCCAACTATATGACATTTTGGAAAAAGCAAAACTATGGAAAGAGTAAAAAGATCAGGAATTCCAAAGGGAAATGGGGAAGTGATGAATAAGTAAAGCACAGGGAATTTTTATGGCAGTGAAGCTAACCTATACTTATACTGTTCTATACTGTAATAGTGGATACATGGCTTTATGCATTTGTTGAAACCCCATGGAACAAAGCAGAGTGAACTCTAATGTAAACTATGGACTTTAGTTAATAATAATGTACAATATTGGTTCATTAATTGTAACAAAGTGTAGGGCCAGCCAAGCGGCTCAGTTGGTTAAGAGCTCGCTCAAGAGTGTGAGCTCTAAGCAACAGCATCGCCGGCTCAATTCCCAGCCTGAGCTGAGCTGCTGCTGAGCTGCCTGATGGCTCAGCTAAAAACAAAAACAAACAAACAAAAAATTGTAACAAAGTGTACCACACTAATGCAAGATGTTAATAACAGGCAAAATTGGGCAGGGGAAGGCAGCAATATATGGCACTCTTTGCTCAATTTTTGTGTAAGCTTAAAAACTACTCTAAAAAATAAAGTCTATTAATTTTTTTTAAATCTACCTCAAGCCTGAAGAAAAGCAAAACTATTTTGGTTACTATTAATAATGACCTACATTTCTCTTCCACCTGTTGCCTATGTTGATTTCAACACTTTAATTGACTGACAATTTATTGCCCAGTGATTTTAATGGACATCTTTCCAAAGTTCATGAATTGGTTTAGAATACTATTTCTCTATTAAGATTTCTCTTTCTGACAAGCATTTCTTTTGGACTATAACTTTCTAAGACTTAGAAACTCAGAAATTAGTGAATTATTCATTCTCATACCAAAAGGTAGATTTTTTTCCTCACAAATACAAGGGAAATATGAAAAGGACATATTATTAAAATAAGAAACTAATAGAAGTGGAGACCAAGAAATAAATAATTTACTTCTTGATAAATATATATATTATCTTTATTGGAGAAGCTCATTGATTTTGTAATGAAGTGACTAAAATTTTTTCTAAACCAATATTTCAGAAACCCAATGCAAAACTGGTCAATATATATCATGAATAGATTCTGTAGACTAAATCAGTTATAATTACTTCTACAAATGTGCCATGGATTGTTTACTATGGCCCAAATTCAGTTTTGTGATAATAAAACTTGTTAAAAAATGTTAAAAAAATAACAACAACAAGGAGAACAAAAACCATACACTTGTTTCCAGTCTTTTAGCTTAATAAGTATTTGTTATATAATATATATCAGCAGTTTTCAGCCTATTTTCCTCACCAAGGTTCACATGACAGATGATGGCTGACATGAAAGACACATTCCCATCACATGTCCAGATTTTAAAGAACGCATCCCAAAATTTTGGGGGAGCAAAGTACTAAAAAATTTTTTCAATCATCACAACTATAGTGTGTCTGTAACTGTTGCTCAGAAGAGTTGTACAAGCAGGGTCTTTCCAATCAGGTAAGCACATGGCATTCCAACCAATGCCAGAGATACTGTTAGAAAATTACCTTTCTTTGGATTAACAATTCCTTTTAAAAACAACAATTTCGAACATGAACATTTTAGTTATTATTAGTAGTAAATACCTAGGGTCTCAGCTCACGACCTGAGTGTTGCAAAACCTAGGCTGAGACCTCCTGACTTAGAGGATACACCCAAACGTTTGCTGAGTGAAATGGCTGAGTTCCATTTATAATTTTATTTTAATTGTGATGCTAACATTCTGCTTTTACTCTGAAGAGAAAAAGAAAACCCTGTATAGAGGTAACTCTGTGGGAAAATCTAATTAAAGTTAACATCCACCATTTAGGGAATTGTGTAAGTACTTCTGGGAGCAATATTTTCTTTCCTATAACCTCTTAATTTTACCTACATATGAGTAAATTATTGAATTTCACTTAGGCTACATGACACAAAATCCTTAAATTAGGTGGTTTTAAAAGCATTATTAATTCATCTCATCCTAACTCTGGCCGTTGTTACTTAGAAAATACCAAGATACCTGTATTAAATATTAATATTCTAGTAAGTCCAAAATAGCACACATGTAAAATTTATACTTACAAAAGGAGAATACTACATCTGATCAATGAGCAGCTGAAAGTTACTTTGAATTCCTAGGGATGTAAAGATTATTATTTTGGTGATGAAGGCTGAACCATTTTGTATTTGCAGATCC